GATGCTGCTTGGCCTGCTGTGTTCATCCAGCTCTACACCTTGTTATCTCCGAATCATTTTAGTTGTTTTAACTTCTGTGAAAACTGTTGTAAGCAAGATAACTATCCTCATGGATTTTTCACTCTCAATCAGCTGAAGTATTGTCACAAAGATCAAATGTCAGCATTACAATCAACCCAGTTGCAGTTCATTTCTTGTTGTTTAATCCAAGAATAAGCTGATGCTGAAATATTGCAAAACATTTTCGAACATGCCTCTGTTTTAATCATTATTGCTGTTTTGTACATCTCTTACAATTTAACAGTGCAGTCTGATCTTTCAGTCTGATCAGCCTTTGCTTTTTAATGGCTATGCCCAGAGAGACCCAGTCGCATGTTACACATTCAAAGAAAGAATTTGCTAAGCTTATAAGCCGCGATTTTTCACATGCATCATCTTGAATTTGAAGCGTTCTATTCAGAACCCAGTGTTTCCATTGGCTTATGCACTGCCCATTTTGTAACTGCGCTTTCTTTTCCCTGTTAGGCCTTAATGTGACAGTGTAAGGATATGGGATGGGCCATTTAGGACTGAGATGAGAAATTTCTTCAGCCAGAGAGTGGCGAGCATGTGGAATTCTTTGCCACAGAAAGCAGTTGAGGCCGAAATATTGAATGTTTTCAAGAAGAAGTTAGATATAATTTTTAGGATTAAGGGGATCAAAAAGCATGGGGAGAAAGTAAGATAAGGGTACTGAGTTGGATGGTCAGCCATGATTTTATTGAATGGCTGCAGCTAGGGAGCAGGCTCTAAGAACCTTTAAGAAGTGAGCTTGCTACTGCTCCTATTTTCAATGTTTATATTTTTCTATGTCTCACATTCACACAGGTTGGGATTGTGGATATTATAACATTAATACCTCTGTGTTAAGGCAGGGTAAAATTAACCACGGCTCTCGATTGTATCTGGTGATTCCTGCAAAAAAGTGCCCCTGAGTGGATGCTGAACTTATTTGTGATGCCTCTTAACACTTGCAGGAGGAGAATTTACTGCCTGCTTGTGCCTAGTGGAGATAGGGTAGTGGAGTCTGTTGTATGTGTTGCAAAGGTATTGCAAATATCCTCTTTCCCTGACTGGGTCTAAGAGCCTACTTGGTTTAGAGTATTAGAGGAACAAAGACAATAGAGCCTCTTGTCTGAAACAAGATGATGCATGATACCAATTAGGTACAAGTTTTATTAGTAGGTTAGATATTGTTACTAAGTGGCTGAGGATATAAGTCTTTGCTCTGCAAGATCTTAAGCTGTTCTGCCTCTTCCTCATGTGACATCATTGAACTAGGTGAAGCTTAGTGCAGACTCTAACATATCCATAGTTAACATTCATGAATTCATCGATATGGTCACATTCATTAGTGCCCCATTTCTCTCTATGTGTCTAACTTTATAAATTGAGATTTTGCAATTCTTCAAGAATGTGTTCACTTCAGAATAGGAAGATTAGTAGATCTTTGGCTTATGGGCAGTTGACATTGTTTCTATTCTTGACCCTGCGTGATCTGTAAAGTCTATCGAGACTGGAGGACCTTTTATCCCTTGGATGGTTCTTCATTGAGGATACTGGTCCTGGTAAACCAGGTAATAAGGTTAGCCTTTTCCAGAAGACCTTTAATCTCCTGAAGCTCTTTTGTAATGGAACTCTCCACTCCTAGATCAGAGAATTGTCTCATAATATTATATGGGAGAGCTTTGAGCACACAAATTCCTTCAATGGAAAGTGGCTGCTTTGTTGAAACAGCCGTTACATTTTTGTAATATCATGGAGTTTTGACCAGGCAATTATATTTTGTCTACATCCTGAATCTGGGGACATAGGTCATCCCACGTCATTCTTGACTCCCATGGATCTAGGTGCAACTCATCTTCAATTTCTGCAAGCAAACCTTTATTTTCAGTTTCTGATACATCTGCATTGAAGTATATAAACTCCTTACTTCAACTTGTAAATGAAGTTGAAGATCTTCATTTGCCCTCTATGGTTGTCTTAACAGGGAACCCAACATATTCACACAGGTTGGTCTCTGTTGGCCTCGATGGTTCAAAGTTTATTTCTTCCATATTCTGGTTTAGCTAGTTTCAAGAGAGACGGTGGTATGGAACTGACCCAATCTTAAACTGATTTGACCTATTCCATCTACCAACAGTCTTCAAACAGACTCCATCTCTCATAATGTCAAACATATAGTTCCACGTGTCAAAATCTTCATTTCAGTTAAGAGTAGAAAAATGAAAATGTCAGTGGTTTAACACAAAGATTGTCACCCAAACTGCATCTCATCAAGTTTATCCGTTTTACACCCAAGCCAATAGAGACAAGGAGGGATTTGTTTACTAAGTTAATGTAAAATAAAATATTCTAATATGCTTTCATTATGCGTATACAGAATACATTTGGAACTCTGTATGTTTGTCCATATAACATTGTATCTTGAAGAATGGAGATTATGATTGATTATTATTCATTATTTGCCTTCCTGCCCTCCTTACTTTGGTGATTTTGAAATCAACAAACATCATGAAAGCATAATACCAATTTGTTGATTCCAGCCAGGCACTTAATAACACTTGAATTATAATATTTATAATAGCCTTCCTAATGATTCTCAATCGTAAATTATGAGTAAGACCTCATCATTTAAGTAACTGTTCAAATACTGTCTCACTGCTGTCAGTTTATTCTGACATGCAGTAGTAATGCAGAAGAGAAGTTTTCTTGAGCTATTGCTGAATCCACAAAGAATCTTTCTGTAAAAGCTGCTTTATTGATAAATGGAATGTGGTGGTGTCTTAAATCAACTGACTGATTATAACTGAGTTCATAGTTAAATTGTATTCATATGTACCCTTCCCTGATGGAAGCAGTGTTCTGTGAAGTGAGATCCACAAGGTCATTGCACTGTAAAAGTCTTGTGTCTAATAACACACATCAGTACTGCTGCTGTGGTTATTAGTAAACCATCACCTTCTGTAAAGTGTTTTGAAACAGAAAATATGATGTAAATCAATGATGAGATTCAATTTCTTTGAATGCGCTGCAGTGTATACAACTGCATCGTATACAATCCAGTGGCTTTGATTGCACATCTATCATCACCACTTAAAGCTCCAATACACTGCAATGCATTCAAAGCAATTTGGAATCTCATCTTTGTCGTAGTTTCCTACATTTAATAGTAATGAGTTCTTTAATAATTCAGCTGAACAGAATGCCATGACTTTGAGATGCTTAAACAATGTAGTCACAAGGATTAGTGCTGGGTCCACTGCTTTTTGTCATTTATATAAAATGATTGGGATATGAACATAAGAGGTATGGTGAGTAAGTTTGCAGATGATATTAAAATTGGTGGTGTAATGGACAGCGAAGGAGGTTACCTGAGACTACAACCGGATCTTGATCAGATGCGCCAATGGGCTGAGGAGTGGCAGATGGAGTTTAATTCAGATGAATGTGAGGTAGTGCATTTT